CTTTGTCATGATTTGAAAATTATTGTAAAGGGAAAAAGAGATACAAAACTGTATTCTTCTCTTCTTTTTGATAATGACAAAGGGGGAGAAAAATTGCTAGCTCAAGATGCAAAATTTGGAAACTTGCACATTGCAAAAGAAGCAAACTTGCTAGCTTGCTTATATCAAAAGAGAAGTAAGAAGTGCTATCTTGCAAATCTCAAGACGCACAAATGCGAACTTGCAAAATTTATAATTTTGCACATCATTAAAATTTATGATGATTTGGTGATTATGCATGTTCTAAAATGTTGTAAGATTCACTAGCTTGCATGATGTAGAACTTGCTATCTTGAATATCACCAAGAAGTGCTATCTCAAGAAGCAAAAAAAAAGTGAACTTGCACATCAAACAAAACTTATATTTCAAAAAGCAAGAGTTGTTTTCTTGAACATCTCAAACTTGATAGCTTGCATGATGTAACACTTGCTAAATTTTCTAGCTTACAAATTGTATGATGATAAAACTTGATATTATGTTTTTCATTTAATGATTTGAACTTACATCTCAAATACTTGATAGTTGGAACTTCTCCTTTTTGTTGACGACAAAGGGGGAGAAGTATGATCATGCTATGCATGATGACGTGTTACAAATATTCATGATGAAATTTGCAACGACTTGAATTCAGCTTGAATTCAAGGTGTTGTCATCATCAAAAAGAGGGAGATTGTTGAATCTCAGATTTTGATGATGAAACTAATTGATAAGTGTTTATGATTTAATATACGTTTTGAGTGACGCAGGATGCTTCGATCAAGGAGAGACAATTAAAGCAGGAAGAATCATGTTGGGCCGGAGGAAAACGTGTCAGAAGATTGGACGTTGAGTCGAAGGATCGGTCGACGTATCGACAGAAGGCTTTGGGCCATGGATTCAGGCATCGTGCCAAAAAGAGCGGATATTGCGTTAAAGATATTGGAGTTGCGGAGTCAACTGATCGATTGGGCAATAGGCCGCAAGAGAGGACGATGCATCGAAGAATTGGACGAAGCGTCGAGGGACCAATGACATGCCGGACAACATGATTAATGCTTAGTATTAATTGTCTAGATCGAAGTGTATTTTTGTGTGTGCAGGATTAACTACGATAGCAAGGCATAAAGCAAAATGAAGTCCCGGAGTCAAGAACACGATTTTGTTGGGAGTTCGAGAGTTCGTCGGAAGTCCGGACTTTCGTCCAAGTTCTGCCGAAACCAACCGAGAAGTTTAGGAGCTTGCTAAAGAAGCTATCGGAACTCTCCAAGAAGCTTGCCGGAAGTCAGGAGCTTGCCGAGAGATCGTCGGAAGTTCGTTAGAAAGATCGTCGAAAGCTCTCCGGAAGAAATCAGACTTATCTTGCTTAAAATATGTCTTAGGAATCGTAGTTAGCACATAATTAGAGTTGAGATTGGGAAGTAATCCCATAAACTCTATTAGGGGCTAACTGGGCCCGAAGTTGGACTGGTTTGGGTCAGATTCAAGGCCCAACAAGGGTGCTGAAACCCTGGTCGGTGGTGGCACTGCTTGGGGAACAGCACCCCAGGATTCCTGGGCGGTGGTACCGCCCCTGTTCGATGGTGGTACCGCCCAGTACCAGATCCTGCGGCGGTAGTACCACCCAGGAACGGCGATGGTACCGCCAGTACCCAGGTAACCTGGGATGAGATCTTTTTAGGCTCCAAGTTTGAATCAACTTGAAGCCTATAAATACCCCTCTCATCCCTGGTTAACTTACACAAGCACAGAGAATTTAAAAGTGAGAAAACGTTGCTGCAACCTCTTGAGAAATTCCCTCCTCCATTCTAAGTTTAGAATTCTGTGAGTGCTTGTAAGGGTTATCTCCTAAACCCGATTAAAGAAGAAGAGGGGTGTAAGAAGGAGGTTGAACTTCACCTATTAAAGGAAGATCGATAGTGGATGCCGGTGACCTCGACGGAAGAGGAATCGACGAAGTGGATGTAGGTCACAACGACCGAACCACTTTAAAATCTGGTTTGCATTTACTTCTTGCTATTTATCTTTATTGCAAACTGAATTCCTCCTTCAGTACGTTTTCGTACAATTTAAAGTTAACATCTTTACGAAACCGGTTTTAACCGTATGAAGGATTTTGAAGACGTGATTTTACCGCTGCAATAATTCACCCCCCCCCCCCCTCTTAGTGCCGACTCGTTCCTAACAGTCTTAGGAGGAGATGAAAGCTCTGTAGCTCAAGAAAGACAAACTCAGCACAATCCTTGTTGGAATAGGAATAAAAGCCCCATCTATGCCACTTCTAATCGAGATATAAGAGGGTGGAAATGTGAATTTCCTTATAGCAGGAATGGATACCAAAATCGGGGTTATTCAGCCCTTTCCAAGTCAAGTTTGGGTCTAGATAGCTCCTAAGTTGAGTCCTGTAGGGCTTATATCAGGATTCTCTATTTTTTTAATGTTTTTATGATGATTTTAATCCTTATTTTTAGTTGTTATGGTAGAGATCTTTAGGTTGCTATTTTAGTCATATTGGTCTAGATAGCTCCTAAGTTGAGTTCTGTTATGAATACCATATGATTTAAGAGTGTTCTTCAGTTTTTATAGCTCATGTAGTAGAGTCCTATGTATCTCAAGGATTATTATACCAGTTGGACTAGTAAGATCTAAGAAGTACCCTCAAGGTCTAAAATCTTGGTCTAGCACTGATAGTGGTCGTCTTTGAATACTGCTGCAACTTTAGGATATAATGTTCTGTTTCAACTTTGTCTGGACTACCTTTGCTAGTTTTGAATTATCAACTGCCACAAATCTCATGGTTGTCACATCAAATGGAAGCTCTCTTTCAGTGAAATATACATAGTTCTAGGTGATCCTCAGAGATGTGACATTCTGGTTTGTTTAATGGTCTTATTAAAACTTTGATTATCTGTTGCTATAATGTGTTTATTCAGGTTATGCTGGGTGCTTTGTAGGTTTAGGTTTTATGACTTTTGTAAATGGAAACACATGTTTTCTCTTTTCGGATTTCCAATTCTTTTTGCTTTATCGATTAAGTCTATCTTTGCTTGGAGAATGTTGCTAAAGCTTTGTGGACTTTTCTGAACTTATGTGTTGTTAGTTACTTTTCAAGATCTGTCTTTTGTGTACTATTTTTTTTCCTTGAGGATCATGCCCATAGTCATAGCAAAGACTAATTCTAGAACCTATAATCAAGGACAAATCTACACCTATAATGAATGAGTTATATTTCTAGCATGGTTCGATGTTTTGGGTATTAGACCAATTGCAATTCCATTAATTCGGACCAGTATGGGTCCATTACATGCCAGCGTACCAACACATGCAGCATATTTTTTTTAATATTTGGGCATTCATGCTATTGGGAGGCATGTGCCATGGTCCGTGCCTAACATGTCATCGAACTGGTACATACAGCCAAGGTTGTACTAGTCCAGTCAAAACATAGATCCATGATTTTTAGAAAACATTATTAAGAGGAGAACAGCCAAGTCATTTCAAATGTCTTTATGGTTTTCAGAGCATCATTTTTTATTTTTAGGAAGTGAAATATAAAAATACCTATCTCATAGAGTAGTTTCTGTAATTAGATCTATAAGCATCATATTTGTGGTGCCACATCGGAAATAAATCTGGGTAAGAAAGAGACTGGATGGTTATAGAAGAAGTGTCTTGGTAAACAAGTATTAAACAACAAATTGGTTGGCAGCCCTCTACTTTAGGGTAAAGGAAAATTCTTTCAACATCCACGTGCCCTTATGTCTGGAATTTCAGTGTCTGGTGAAAGAGGTGCTGACTTGATGTTGCATGTATTGAATAAGAATATAAGATAATATGGTAAAGAGCAGTGATTGAAAAAGGCGCTCGGGCGCTCGCCTAGGCGCTCGGGCGCTCGCCTAGGCGCTCGGGCGAGGTGAGGTGAGGCCCGAGCGCCTCGCTAATGTCCCAGGCGGCGCCTGTTTGGCCTGGGCGCTCGCCCGAGCCCAGGCGCTGGGCGCTTCGGGCGAGCGCCTAGGTAAACCAAGGCGACCGAACCAGGATTTTAGGTCTGGTTCGATCCCGGTTCGGTTATTAGTTGGTTCAATCGAACCAACTAAACCGATATAACCCTTACCCAACCCTAACCCGCTGCCGCTGCCGCTCCCGATCTCGCTGCTCGTCGCTCCCACTGCCGCTGCTCGTCGCTGTCGCTGCTTGCGCCTCCCGCGAGTCCTCCAGTTGCTCGCGCCTCCCGCGAGCCCAATCGCGAGCCCTCCCTCTGCTCGCGCCTCCCGCGAGCCTTCCCTCTGCTCGCGACTCCCGCGAGCACTCCCGCTGCTCGCGCCTCCCGCGAGCCCTCCCGCTGCTCGCGCCTCCCGCTCCCTTTCCCTTTCCTGCCGCCGCTCGTCGCTGCCGTTGCCGTCGCTCGCCACTGCTTCCTTTCTCCGTCAGGCTCAGTATACTCTTAATATTAAGTTTATTTGAATTTTAAAATGATTAATTTTCATTAATAGATTAATAATATATTAATTTGATTTTAATATTATTAATTTTTATTTATTTGAAATTATTGTTAGGTTTCAACATAAATGGCAAGTGTAGAGAGCACCTCAATAGAGTCTCCAATGATATAAAAAAAAAGATCCTGCATGGAAGTATCTTAGATTTTCTTAATTTAATAGCATATTTTTATTTAAAATTTTAAATAATTATATTTATTAATTATATTATATATTTTTATATTTTAGCGCCTCGCTTCGCTCGGGCGAGCGCCTAGTGCCTCGGGCGTTTTTGGACCTTGGCGCCTTTTGGCGCCTAGCGCTTTTTAAATCACTGGTAAAGAGGTTATGCAGCTCTTCATTTCTCAACAATTTTCAGACCACTCAAATAAACATGTTAGACTGATGACTTCTGTTATAACTTTGGAGTTCACAATCGAAGTATTCTGCTAATCATGCTAGAAAAAATATTTGTTCAAGGTCCTGAATAGAATGTTGCATTTCAGATTTCAAGACTGATTTACACCAATTCTGGCTTTGCCATCTTGGCTTTAGCATCAAATGCAATTCATCTCCTCTGGAAGTGGCCTCGAAATGAACGCAATTCAAGTGGAAAGGTACTGGAAATGACAAATGTCTCCATAAATTATCAGAACCTTTTTAACTAGTTGAAATACAAAATTCTGGTGTTAGTTTTGCTAAATGAATGCTTCATTGTACAGGCAACTGCAAGTGTTGCCCCTCAACTGTGGCAACCACCAAGTGGTATATTGATGACTAATGATATAACTGACACAAATCCTGAAGAACCAGTCCACTGCTTTGCATTGTCGAAGAATGATTCTTACGTCATGTCAGCTTCAGGAGGGAAAATATCCCTATTCAACATGATGACATTTAAGGTTAGACGTAAAGATTACATGATGTATAATAGCTTAGCTCACATTTTAAATTGACCAATATTGTTGTACAATGCAGACTATGACGACATTCATGCCCCCCCCACCTGCAGCAACTTTTCTTGCATTTCATCCTCAAGACAATAATATAATTGCTATAGGAATGGATGATTCTACAATTCAAACCTACAATGTCCGTGTTGATGAGGTACTTTGCTACTAAGGCAACATGTGATGCTGTCTGATGGAGAAAGCATGTTATTCATATAATTCATGCATTTGCAGGTTAAGAGTAAACTTAGAGGCCACTCAAAGAGAATTACTGGCCTTGCCTTCTCAAATGTTCTAAATGTGCTGGTTTCATCTGGAGCTGATGCTCAGGTTATTGGCTGATCCTTTCTTCATGATGCAGATAATTTGATGTCTAGTTTGTCAATTTTTAACTTGTCTTTGATGGGCTCTATTTATGGAGGTATGAGTTCACCTATGATTTTTCTATCACAGCCTAACCTCTTCAAATGTACCTTTTTATGTTGCAGCTTTGTGTGTGGGGAACTGACGGATGGGAGAAACAGAGAAGCAGATTTTTGCAAATTCCCTCTGGGTATACTCCATCAACGATCTCAGACACACGTGTGCAGTTCCATCAAGATCAAAAACACTTCCTAGTTGTGCATGAGACCCAGATTGCTATATTTGAGACAACTAAACTAGAATGCATGAAGCAGGTATTTATGTCAGGTTGTGAATATGGGAGAAAGTTTATGCTAACCTCCATAACAATTTTTGGTTTATCTTTCAGTGGGCTCCTCGTGATGGTTCTGCGCCCATATCTCATGCAACATTGTCTTGTGACAGTCAGTTGATATATGTTAGTTTCTTGGATGCCACTGTATGTATATTCAATGCCATGAACCTGAGGCTCAGATGTCGGATCCTTCCTGCTGCTTATCTCCCTCCCAGTGTCAGGTATGTGAAAAATTATTTTTTGTTAAAATTATTTTTTTCATTTGCTATAAGTTGATGTTTGGTGGATATGAATCTCTGCAGAAAAGCCACAAAGTGCACAATCTTAGGTATTCATCATTTGTAAATGTAGCCTGTTTATTGACTTGGTTATTTTCTCCTTAACAAGAATCACCACACACACATTTATGTATAAAGTGTGCTCCATGTTATATTTTGTTTGCCTTTGGCCATTTTGCCATCTATCTATTTCTGTAGTTTTTTTTCTAAGGCTGTGTTCTCTCGGAAAGGCTTAAAAAAGATAAACTAATAAAGATGATCGAAAAAGTTGGTCCAGGTGTTGATGATTCTGACTTTGGATTCATTTTGAACTGCTAGCGATGATGAAGCATGCTCTGTTAACATGTGGCTAAGAAGTGTGATGCCTGCTCTTTTAATCCATCTGCAGTTTTACCTGCATATGATTCTGCATCAGATTGAGGCTGAACTGTTTTCCACATGATCCACTATTTCTGATAACTTCCTACTTGCTTTGACAGCACAACTGTGTACCCAGTCGTGATTGCCGCACATCCTTCAGAGCCAAACCAATTTGCCTTGGGTCTGACAGATGGCGGTGTACATGTATTAGAGCCACTGGAATCTGAAGGGAAATGGGGTGTCAGTCCACCTGCTGAGAATGGATCAGCGAGCAACATGTCGACACCGCCCCCTGCAGGAGCTGCCTCTAGTTCAGATCAACCACAGAGGTGATCGATAGTATTGCAACCACAGTATCTAACCCCTTTGCTCCCTCTGTCATAATTCTTAATGGTTGAGTGGCCGAGGTATGCATCTGAATCATCATCTTTGTGAATTTTTTAATCATCCTTTCACATAAGGCTAACCAATTTTTTGCCTGCATTTGCAGTCAGGGCATGCAGTCTCAGATAGGTTTAGAAAGCTAGAACCTAAAAAATTAGCCAAGGGTTTTCTCCATTAGGGTTTATGTTGTTCTGCATGTTGGAATAGAATTACACCATGACAGCATTAGATTATATTCCTTGCTTGTTCGGAGAAGGCTGTCTTTTTCGTGGATCAATCAGAATGCAGAAATGTGAAGTTTGTTTGAACTGCAATTTATCAACATGAAATATTTGCCACTCTTGTTTTATTACAGATTTTTCTTTTACTTTATCTATGATTAGAGCAAAATAGAATTTTGATGTACATTTTGCAGTGGTCTTCTTGCCTCATTGTAAGAACTGATGTTGTATACCGTGTTCTTCCATTGGTGTATGTTGTACAACAAAGATGAAACCATAGTCTTCCCAACTATTTGTGCTCTTTAAGATTTTTTTCTTTCCTTCCTCGCCACTCTGTTTAGGTCAAATTGGTTACCATCCATCCATCCATCATCTCACAGTATGTTGCTAATAGTTTTCCTGTGGACAAACAATACTTTAATAGCACTAAGTGTTCGTAGTACAGTCATTTTGTCCTCCAAACTAAGGGCAACGAGTTCTAGATTGAAGCAAACAAAGCTGCAGATTCGACGTGCGACTTAAAAGGATGACCCCAAAGACTGAAGATGATTAAAGTACAAAGTTTATAGAGAAACTGATTTGTAATCTCAAATCCTGATCTCGCAGATAGCAGATAAAAATATGTTGTAGGTTACTCCAACTGCATCAACATGAGATCAATGCATTATGCATGTTACAAGACAAAATTCTCCAGCCAGCAGAAATGTGGGGTATTGTCGTCAACATCACTAATATCATCATCATCATCAACTACAATGACAACATCTTGCTTGGCCCTGATCTAGTGCCAGACTACATGTTCCTGCAGCATCTTGCTTGGCCCTGATCCACAATAGGAAATACCAGTGCCAGACTACATGTTCCTGCAGCCTGAACTAAAAGTCAGAAAACCAGAGAAGTATCATCCGAAAAAGACAACCACAAGCAAACTTGGGGAACAGAAATATGGAGCTTGTGCTATGTTGTGTTTCACATAAGCCAAAAGTTACACTACACTTATTCTCCAACCCACCTTAGAAGATCATGAAGAGCAAGCCATTATGATATCACGGACAAAATTGTAAATGAGGTGTTCGACGTAATGCTTATGTATGTATGTGATTTTTGAGTTGTTCATGCTTTGCACAACATGTCAAGGGTTGGTAGTAGGCTTAGCAATCGTATTTTCTTTCGATCTGTAGTGGATCATTTTGGACCCTTTGTTGTGCAATCGTTTAGAGCTTGTACAGTCTGTTTGTAATTTGCATTGGCTATAAAGTGTTTTTTGAAACGATTGCTTGTGGATCTCGAGTGAGATGTTTTCTCTAACCTATTTTTTTCTTTTGTATGTCCTAAGGGGCCATAGGAGGTTTCGAGGAGGCTGACATTTACGGACGGACACACAAGGGTACCGCACGACTTAGGCAAAACCAGCTAAGTTTATGACAGATGGTATTAGAGCCTTACAATTACTCATAGAAATACTTGACATGCAAATGTGGGGGACCTAGCGGGGCTACATTGAGGGCAGCTAGCACGCGCGACCGTTTGGGGGAAAAGGAGCATGGAGATGTAGGGAAAAGGAGTCGTTTAGAGGAGCAAGCATCTAAGATTGACATTAAGAGGAATGACCAATCCTTCGCGTAAGCGGCACCATGAGGACAAACAAGCTTGGAAGAATGCGTAATGCACAAAGGTTGAGATGGCTGAGTTCGAGCTACCACTCGACGTTGACAACCATATATGATGGTGCTCAAGACAAGCGAGGTGCTTAGTAAAGGATGAGACTATGCAAGGTGGAATGAGTTGCTCAACGACCGAAAGAGTTATGCAAAACTCATAGAGGTGAGGGGAATTGCTAACTCAAATAATTCGATACTCATGCAAGGGCTTATATCCTGACGATAGAGTGTTCATGGCCATCCCAAGGTGATTGAAACTTGGCGCTATGGAGCATTGAAACTTTCTCTTTGGCATGAGAAGGATATGTCCGTGGGAGATTGAAATGTATAGCAAGTTCATCATGTTGCTAGGCCTTGAGTGGTGCAGTAGGGACTGTATTGACATGGAGTCGCAATCTAGCAAGTGCGTTTGCGAGAGATAAAATAATGCACAATTTGTTCAACAAGGCGGAGTAGTCCAAGGGGATGGTGGTCTCTGAAACTTTCAGAGAGAAGGAAGCGAAGAGAGAAGTTGCTCCAACGGAACATATATCTAGGAGGGATAAGTCTTGACTCTCCAGAGGGAGAACTATGTGTAACAAACCGCACATGTTGAGGAGGAGTACTTCAAAATAACTCCACAAAGCTCAACGGACGGAGCGAACGGTGAGGAGTCATTGCATGATCTCGCTTGAGATAATGCATTGGGAGAATACATTGCGAGATCAAGTGGGGGAGCGACCCAATACAACACAAATAAAGGAACACTTGGAGTCGATATGGAGATCAAACTCAATGGAGGGTTGATCCATGGAATGGTGAGCGCGAGGGCCACCATCAACTCAATGCAAAATGAGGAGCGGAGCAACTTGGGTGTAACTTAGCGAAGTACCCAAGCCGCATGAAGGGAGTTGGCATAGAAGATGAAACATGGAACGGAGGCACAAAGCTTTCCTTGGACAGATATCAAGAACATGAACTCTTGTAGAGGCAAGTGCGGGATCGTGTCATTCCAACAGGTCCTTCATTCCGATGGAGTAGACTTAGCTTGCATGGTGCCAAAGAAGAAGGGAGCTTCTAGGTACATGCACCTTATCTCGGAGAAGCATTTGATGAAGTAACTAAGGCGACTCAACTTACGGAGGCAAAGTTGGGTTCAGAAGGCCTTGACACGGGATAAGAGGACGAGGAGGCGGGTACTCTTGAAGAATATGCCATAGTGCTACCATTCAAATTACCATAAAGGAAGCAGTGTGCAGCGAAAATTGTGCTGATAGGGGCAGAGGCCTAGGATCTAGACAATGGTGCACTAATTTCAGCGAAGTCGGTGGACTTCGAGAGCTACTAGGCGACGGACTGTCCTAGAGTGGTGTTTCGTCTAGGTGAGACCCGAGAGCGAGTGGACGAAGGTCGATTGCCAAATGAGCGAACACAATCGAAGGTGGAAGAGGCCTTACGATGTGTTGGCAGAGGCTACATATGGATGGATCACAATCCGATTTCATCCCACAAGGATCAGAATACGATAGAGATGTCACCACGAGGCGATAAGGTGCAGCGAATCGTGGTGGAACAGTTTGTGGCAATGCGATACACACGAATCTAGTCCCATGAGGGACTATATCATACAGAGATATGATCAGGAGTTATTGGGAGCTCCACTTCAATGAACAATACGACAGCAAGAAGGGCTATAGATTCAAAGAGTGAAAGTTATGATATCGTAGAGGCGAATCTTACGTGAGTGTAGCAAATTTTGCATCGGATGAAAGCCTTAGTCATCAGCATATAGGGGGGCTGTGTACCACCGAGGGAAAAGTTCGAATGCAAGTATCAATGAGTCCTATGGGAGAGACTTGATCATGCAGAGGTATGATCAAAGTAGTTGGAGAGTTGGACTATTTCAGAGCTCATATTCTCTTAAGGGAGCCAAGCAAGTTAGAGGACAAGGTCAAATATGCGAACGTTGCTACCAAGTGTTGAATCTCGTATTTTGATGATGAAACTACTTGATATATGTTTATGATTTAATCTGCGTTTTGAGTGACGCAGGATGCTTTGATCAGGATGAGACAATTAAAGAAGGAACATCATGTTGTACCGAAGGAACATGTCAGAAGATTGGACGTCGGGCCGGTGGATCGGTCGACGTATCAACAGAAGGCTTCGGGCCGTGGACTTAGGCATCGGGCCAAGAGGAGCGATTATTGTGCCAAGGATATCGGAGTTGCGGAGTCAACTGGCC